AGATTAATTAAAAAAATAAATTAAATAATAAAGTATTTAAAAAATAATGCTTAGGTTACATATGGCCAAGGTCGGTTACTATTTTCGGTTTACTAGACTAAATAATAATTTGGTTGCGTAGTTCGGTCCGCATTGATAGTAACTAAATTTTTCGGTCAGCTGATTTCGGTTACTATTTGACATTTTTCTAGTAGTGTAAGACTCGAAATAGTAACCGATTTTATGTGACCGAAAATTCGGTTACTATTTCTAGCTACTAGACTAAAAAATAATAATTTGGTTACTGATTCGGTCACTGATAGTAACTAAATTTTTCGGTCACTGATTTCGGTTACTATTTGACATTTTTCTAGTAGTGTAATATACAAACAACAAAGCACGTTCCAACAACAATGAAGTGTGTAAACCGAATGCACTCAAACAAATAAACAAATAATTACATTCCAATAACAATTCGAGTGGAGACATTATACTATAACGTGATTGAGATCCCCAAAAACAATCACGGATTCAATTTAAACATATAGCAATGACATAGAACACTAACCTCGAGTATAGACGAAAAATGATTTCAAACTCGAATCCAATCGGGGAGAAATATTAAGTTCGTAAAATGACACACAATGTTGATGTTTTTCACTGTCAAACTGATCGAAAATGGTGTGCAGAGGTAGTTGTTGTCGTCATTCTTGTCGTCATTCTCAAAAACCCTGGTTGCGCGAGACGAGGGAGTGGGTCTGGGGGGAAATAAAAGGGACTTTTTACGTCGCGCAGCGCAGTACGCGACGTAAAAAGCTTTCTTTTACGTCGCGCCACCCAGGTGCGACGTAAAAGAGGCTTTTTACGTCGCGTGCTGAGGTGCGCGACCTAAAAGTTTTGTCTCTTATTTACAAAATTGCCACCGCGTTTTATTTACGTCGAATATTTTTACATGCGACGACAATTAGGTGACGTAGAAACCCTTTTTTGCACTAGTGAAGGAAGGAGAACATTCCAATAATGTCCAAGTATTCATTGGACTCTTCTAAGAATAAAATGAGTCCCAACACACAAACCCTTCTAAACAACTTACATTGTATTTGTAGGAGTTTTGTTAAGATATATGTTTTGGGATGTCATGAGTAAGAAAATAGGACGTATACAATGATGCAATGATACATAAATAATTAAGTGCCAAATCTCATAGTTAAGGACTATTTAACAAAGGAATTTTAAAAATGAAAAACTTTAGAATAACGACATTTTTTTCTTTATGCTTCCTTACACGTGAAATAAAAATAAATAAATTAATTGTATAAGTCTAAAATAGAAAATATAATTAAAACTTATAAATCTATTAATCATTTAGGAGATTAATTTGATATCTTTAGATTTCAAGAATAATTAACACAACATTTATGATTTTGAGGAATTAAAGTGATAATTTACGTAAAACAAATAGAAGTTGGGCATTGTTTGAAAGTAAAGAATAAAAACGAGGAAAAGGCCAAACAGAGGTAGGTCAACTGAAGAGACGTGTTCCTTTCCTAGTCACTTCCTTGTGCTGCTTCTATCCCTGTTTCCTCTTCCACTCATAATTTCATCAATGCAAAAAACATTGAAATTTTACAAAAATGAAAAGAAAAGAAGGAATAACAAGTTGAACATCAATGTAGTTAGGCAAACGTCATTATATGAAGTGTTATAGTATTTTGAGCAAGAATAACTTATATATTCTTTTATGGAAATACATGCATTGTATATGGTATCATCTTAGCTGTGATATCATATTGAAAAAAATAAAGAAAAGAAAGAAAAACCTTAGCTGTGATATTTGATATATATTGGTAGTTCTTAGCTGTGATATATGATATGATACAACTTTATGTCGTATTCAAAAAATAATAAAGACTAGGAATGAGAAATCCGTGAATTTCGCCTATGCAAAGGAAACCGCTCCTTTTTTGGTACAAAGAAACCTCTCTCTCTAAAAATGGCTCATTGGAACACCCTATTTTTCCGGTGAAAATGACCTTGCACCATTAAAGCTTCGGGAAAAAAAAAATACAGAAAAGAAGAAGAAGATAATGAGATCAAGTTTATTAGTGAAAAATAAAAGGGAGAGAATAGTATTAATTAATCCGATCACTAATGTCCCTTCTACCTTTCCGTGGTTCATTAGTTCCAATACTATTCAAATTTCCTTTTTCTTATTCTCTTTGTTCTTCAAACGAAAAAGAAACGGGAGAGAAAAGATTAGATGATGCTGCTGCTGCTACATTGTTGCTGTAAATGACATGATTTGGAATCTTTGGGCTCTCAATGACCACAGCCATTAAGGACAGTTTCCCTTTACTGTTTCTGATAAATTAACTTTTTTTAAAGTTGAGTTTTGATTCCATTATTTAAGAATCTTCACACTCTTATACGAAATGCAAAAGAATAAGTAAACAAATGAGTTAGTAGCACGTCAAGCTCTCTTAATCATGGCTAAGTTATACAATCTCAATAATGAGGAATCTTTGAGGTGAATTACACGGGTAAGAGCATTCAATTTTATTCATTCATGGTAGCTCAGATGTCATAGATGGCAAGTGATGAATGAACTGTATTATTCCCCTACTCTTTCTTCAATATCACTTTCTTGCTTTGTGCTTAGAGAATATTTCACATAAAGATAATTTATTCGTACAGTACTACATATTTTATTTTATTTTTTTCACTATCTTTCTTTGCCATGTTAATTCTTTTTCTCATATTTTCTTTTCACTTTTTTTTTTCTTTCTTTATAATTATTTTACGTAAAATTTTATATCAATATTATTTCTCGTCCGTAAATATTCATGCTTAGTGCTGTGATTGAAGTTGTAGATATTCCTAATCCCTTTCATGGATGCTTGTAGCAGTAAGAGAAATGAGAAAGTAAGTGACACGACTTTCATTTATTTCAACACGTCTTTGTTTATATATATAAACGAAACAAGATTATGAATTTATTTATAACTTAATTGGGTTTATGTCATGATATGTAAGTACTTGTAATTTATTCAAAAGTTGTTAACTAAGTTGATTTGGCCAAATTGGATCAATGTTTGTGGAAGCTTATGATCTGTTTATATAAGTTAATTTTCATTTACTTTAATCATTTTTAAGATAACTTACAACTTCAATTTATAATTTATATGAAGATAATTTATCTTTGTCTTTGATTGAAAACAACTCGTCATAAAATGTCTATAATTAAAGATTTTTTAGTTATAAACTATCCTCCTTGTATTCAATTTCTAAGAATAAACATAATGCGTAGTTTTCTTGTTTATCCAAACACTACTGTTAATTTTTCTTGAATTCGCTTAAAATTAGATAAAACAATAAATAGATAATTTTATATTTCCTTTCATAAGAAGAAAATGTTAGTATACTTCACTCAATGGAAAAGAAAAAAAAACTATACAAATGAAACAATAGATTTAATTAATTTTACAGATTAAAAATGCATAACATATTGTATAATAAGTCGTAATTTTATAATGAGATTAAAATATAATAGTTTATAACTCTCCACATTATTGAGTAACTCATTCTTTCAATTTATAAATTACTTAAGAACAAATAAATATACATAACAATAAGAGGGAGTATAATTAATTAATTTATTTTGTGAATACCCAAATTTATCTGGGTACGTAAAATTAAAATATAGATAAAAAA